GTAGTGAGGGAAGATGGGAGATGGGACGGAACGGGGACGGAGGAGGAGACGGGGGAGCTTCGACTACACGTAAGAGTGACCCTTCGCCGGAATGACCTTTGGTGCGGGCCCATTGGGGCCCCCCGATCGCCGAACGCGATGCGATAGGAGCGTTTTGCGCGCTTGTGTTTGGTCCCGCCGCGGCCCCCAGAAAGCCGCGCACCAAAAGCCACTTTCACCCAGGGCCACACCTGGCGTGTAGACGAGGGGTTCGAGGACGAGAGAGGGTCGAGGTGCCCCGCGGCCGCTCCGCTGGCCCGAGAACCCTGCGGCATAGCTGCCCCTGATTCCGCCTGGCCTGGGGCGGATGGCGGCGCTCGCGGGGGCCGCCGCGGGCGGCTGGGCCGCGCCGACCTCGCCCGCCAGGTGCCCGCGGGAGCACCCTAGCGTACCCGCCGGGTCCTCGTCCACGCCCTAGTCATTTTTCTCCTCCGGCCCAAGACCATCATGGGCCTGTACGGGCTATTGCAGAACAAAAGCACGAAGAAGGTTGGTTGACGCGTTCAGATTCTAGGTCCTCTTTACCAGGCTCCAGGACCGCCAACAAATCGGGGTGCAGATTTCCCAAGCACCGTTTGCACTTAGGGCTTCGAATTTAGGGAAAAAAGGAATTGGGCTGGTCTGCCGCTGTTGGGGGAATGTAGTCGCCGTCGCCGCCCAGTCGCCGTCTCGTCGCCGCCCGGGCTCTTGTGCCTCTTTGGCGGCTATGTAGTCGCCCGTGGCTGGCCCGTCGCCGTCGTCCGTCGTCGTCCGTCGTCTGGGCCGATATGGCAGTCTGGCAGTGGCCGCCGTCAACGCCCCGTCGCCGCCTTGTCGCCACCCTAGATCGCACAACATAGACTGCACCGCATAGATTGCACCACAAAGATTGCACCGCATAGGTTATCCTCTCTAAGATAAGAATAGACTCTCCCCCCCGGAATTATCGATCCCCCTTGTTGTATTGCAAGTTACATGTGATTCTGCGCCAGCGTCCATCCTAAATATGACTTCGTACTATCCCAGCCAGGCCGGTATCACTCACCCCGCCATCCTCTGCACAAAATACTATGCGCGCACATCCGTTTATCAACAATGATAAGTGTTCAAGACTCCCTTGCAAAACATGAGACGAAGTGCACACGCGCGCGTCGTCGCGCGCGCATGCCGAAGTCCTTCGAAAACCTTAGGTTTCGGAAGGGTTTCGAAATCGAGTATCCCAAAAGCATACAAAAACACAGGGTTGCGCAATACTGATGTTCTACAAAAGCTTACGTGCGCGCTCTTGCGAAATCTTATGGTAATCATCGGGTTTTCAAGATTTTCGAACAAAAATGCTACCAAACGGGCTTCGCGCGCGCATGTCGAAATATTTCGAACCCCCTTGCGCGTGTGCCGTCGCGAGAATCCTCCGCAACAAACGGGGCGAAGTGCAGACGCGCGCGTCGTCGCGCGCGCGTGCCGAAATCCTTCACAAACCTTTGGTTTCGAAAGGGTTTCGAATTTGTACCCAAAAGCATACAAAAACATGAGGCTTCGCAACGCGGATTTTCATCAATGGCGTGCGCGCGAGCTCTTGCGTCGTCGTCGTCGTCGCCCTCCTCCCTCCTCCCTCGTCGTCGTCGTCGCCGTCGTCGTCCGCTGTCTTTCCTCCTCGTCGTCGTCTTGGCGTCGTCGTCGTTTCCGTCGTCGTTGTCGCCGTGGTCGTCCTTCCTCCCTTGTCGTCTTCGTCGGCGTTTCGTCGTTGTTCCTCCTATTTCGTCGCCGTCGTCGTCGTCGTCGTCGTCGTCGTCGTCTTCCCTCCTCCCTCGTCGTTGTCGTCGCCGTCGTCGTCCTCCCTCCTCCCTCGTCGTCGTCGTCTTCGTTGGCGACGTCGTCGTCGTCGTCGTCCTCGTCGTCTTCGTCGTCGCCGTCGTCGTCGCCGTCGTCGTCGGTGTCGTCGTTGTCGCCGTTGTCGTCGGCTTCGTCGTCGTCGTCGGCGTTGTCATCGTCGTCGTCGTCGTCAGCGTCGTCGTCGTCGGTGTTGTCGTCGTCGGTGTTGTCGTCGTCGTTGTCGTCGTTGTCGGAGTCGTTGGAGACTCTTCCGCAACGTTTACCGTTTTGGACGTTGCCATGATACCGCGCCCGCCCAAGTCGCCGACTCGCAATGACGTGCCCGCTGGTATGCCCAACGATCAGGCCACCGCGGTCGCGTCGGTCGCGCCAAACCAGTTGGCCGCTGCGCGCGCGTGTTTGGGTTGGCTCGGCCGCAGAGACGCACCAGCCAACGCCGAGCATGCATCGCAATCGCCACCTTGGGGATTTTGCAATCCAGGTTGCGGGCGGGCGGGTGGGATATTTGCAAGAGCACGGGGTGCGTCATTTCGTTTGGTAAATAAATCGCACCACGTAGATTTTCTTGTCCAATAAGAAATGGAACCTTAACCCCCTCCTCAGAGTAGCGCCCCCCCTTTCGTATTGAAGTTTACAGACGATTCTGCCCCATCGCCCTTTCTAAATATGAACTCGTAGCATCCCAGGCAGGCTGGTATCGGCCCCTCCCGTCATCCTTTGGAAAAAATGCGCGCGCACCCGACCATCACCAACCATCAATGTCCAAGAGTCCTTTGCAAACAATGGGGCGAAGTGCAGACGCGCGCGTCGTCGCGCGCGCATGCCGAAATCCTAGAGAAAAAAAAAGAACACGGCGATGGTGCCGTAGGGGTTTCAAATTCGAGTGTGAACAAGTCGTATAGTAAACACAAAGTTTCGCAACAGTGATTTCCAAGCAAAGCTTGCGCGCGTTCTTGCGAATCCTGAAGAAGACCATTGGTTGTTCAACACTTTCAGAACATGCTACCACATGGGCTTCGCGCGAGCGCATGTCGAAATCGTTCGACCGCCCTTGCGCGCGTGCTGGGGTGGCACGATCCGGGGCGAATAATACCATGCGGGACACTCGCGCGCCTGCCGCGCGCGCATTTCGAATTCCTTCCAAAACTTGCATCACCGACGCGAAGACGCCGTCATCGTCGCCGGCGTGATCAGCATCGGCGCCGTCACTGGTTGCTCCGTCGTCGCTGTCAGCATCGTCGCCAGCACCGCTACTAACATCATCGGGCGTACCGATGTCTACGTTGCCATGATACCACGTCCCCCCAAGTCGCCGACTCGCCATGAAGTGTCCGCTGAGACCTTGCCGAGAGGTCAGCGCCGCCGTGTTCGCGTGGGACGCGTCAAGCTACCTGTCCGCTGCGCGCGCGAGCATGCGCGGGCTAACGCGGCCGCGCAAATGCACCATCCAACACCAAGCGCCCATGGCAATCGCTTCAACATTGGTTTTGCAGACGAGGTTGCGGGTGGGTTGGTGGGATGATTGCGCGAGCAGTGGGGCTGACAAATACAAATTCGGCAAGGGAGGTCCCCTTCTAAAAGAAGAATACAGTCTACCCCCCCTCCCGGAGTTAAAGGTCCCCCCCCTGAGTAAACGACGGCGACGTCGTCGTCGTCGTCGTCTTCGTCGACGTTGGCGTCGGCGTCGGCGTCGTCGTCGTCGTCAGCGGCGTCGTCGTCGTCGTCGGCGTCGTCGTCGTCGTCGTCGGCGTTGTCATCGTCGTCGTCGGCGTCGGCGTCGTCGTCGTCGTCGTTTTCGTCGTCGTCGTCAGCGTCGTCGGCGTCGTCGTCGTCGTTGGCGTTGTCATCGTCGTCGTCGTCGTCGGCGTCGGCGTCGGCGTGGTCGTCGTCGTTGTCGTCGTCGTCGGCGTCGTTGGAGACGCCGTCGGTGTCGTCGTGTTCGTTGTCGGCGGCGTCGTTGGCGTCGTCGTTGTCGCTGCCGTCGTCGGCGCCGGTGTCTTTGCCACGTGCCATTTGGTACCTACCGTCACGGTCTTAAGAGGTCTTGCGACCAAGTTGCGGGTGGGAGGGTTGGATGTTTGCAAGAGCTCAGAGGAGCATGAAGTATTGATATTGATAGTTTTCAAGATTCAGGTTTTCCAGTTCTTCCGCGCGGGCTACAGGGATGAATGGTCGAGCGCATTCCGTCGCGCAGGTTCTTTGCGCGATGTGCGCGGTGCATTTTTTGCGCATCGGAGCGCCCTCGGAGATGCCGAACTGTATGTTCTGTTGCTCTTGGGGAATCCACGAGTCGCAGCTGCCGTGGCGCTGTTTCCGAAGTGACCCTTTCGAGTGCTGTTCGCGGGCGCAACGCGCGGCGCGCGTTGCGCCCAAACGCGCGCGGCGCGGTGCGTGGATCAGCCGGCCGCGCCCGTCGGACCGCCCGGAAATTATTTCTGGATTGTAGAATGTTTCAGAAAACGTCTCCGTTTTTCTGGCGCAAGCGGTTCCGGAACTTTTCAAGAACGAGCCCGGAAACTTTCAAAAAACAGTTTTGAGGGGTGGAATGCGCCCGCCGCGCAGGACATTTGAAGAATTCTGAAATCCGAGATTTTTCAAAATGGATTCCGGAATTTTCCAAAATCGAGCCCGGAATTTTTCAAAATCGATTCTGCTATTTTTCAAAAAGTAGGCCAGACATGTTCAACGACGTTCCCGGAGCTTTTCAAATTTACCCCCGGAGAATTTTCCAGAGTCGCGCGTGATTTGCCACGCCAGGTCTTTGGAAATCCGCCGAGGCGCGCAGTGCGCGGCGGCGGGCGATGGGACGGCGCGCCGCCGTCCCCCCCCGCGCTCGGCAACGAGAAGGAGGATCAGCAACTGCCAAATTGCCCCCTACGGGCGACCACTCGATTGCGAATGGGTGACCGACCAGCGGCGCCAGACAGAGTAGACAATACTCGACGCAAAGTGTTCCCCGCACGAAAGTTGTTAGAAATCCCGGAACCCCCGGAACGTATCAATAGCACGTTGTGTCAATAGATGCTTCTCGGCCTAAGAGCAGCGGAGAGGACAGTTCAAGTTGAGCAAGTGACTGATTCGCCGAGCGCTCCCCCGAAGTCCCCAAGGGCATTGATTCTGTAAGGTTTTTCCATGGTTTCGGGGCCGTT